ACCTCACAGGCCACAGCCCCTCACGGATCTCCCAGTGCCCCTCAGCCCCGCGCCCCTCACGACCCGCAGCCGTCAGTGCCGCGCACCTCAGTACTTAGAGCCCCTGAGCCCCACGGGAATGCCACAGCTCCCCACAGCTCCTCAAGCCCTATTCACACCTCACGGCTCCTCAACCCCACAGGGATCCCACAGCCCCTCATGGATCGCCGAGCGTCTCTCAAGGACCCCACAGCTCCACGCACCTCACCGCACCGAAGGCCGCCTCATTCCCTTACAGACCCCACAGCCATGAGCCCCGAGCACCTTGCAGCTCCTCACGGACTCCACAGCTCCCCCAGATCCTCGAGGGCCCGTCACGCCCCACAGACCCTCACAGACTCCACAAGTTCAGAGCCGACGCCAGCCCCGCAGGCGCGCGGCCCTCACGGACCAAACAATTCTCAGTCTCGCGCACTTCCCAGCCCCTGAGGCCGCCTCGGTCCCTTAAGGGACACCACAACCCTCAACCGCCGCGCACGTCTCACCCCACACGGCCTCACCCCTCACGGACCCCACAGCACCGCAGGCCGGCCCAGTGTCGCGAACCCCTCGCAGCCGCACGTACCGCACACAGCTCGCAGCGGCGCGGGCCGCCCGGACCGACACAGGACCCCAGCAGCGCTGAAGCCGTAACGGCAGCGCCGCCTCAGAATTCAAACCTCTCCCACTTCCCCATTGGCCGCGCCCCACCCCACCCGATTGGCGCCGTTCTGCGTCGCCCCGGGGCATCACGGGAAATGTAGTTCCTGCCGCACCAGCGCCACCTGCGGGAAATACTAAAATTTTTTATAAACACTGCGCTCGCAGTTAATCTGAGTAGAAAGACATACTCCTGTTCCTTCTCCCGTATGTTCCCGTCCTTTCCCTCTGGTAACCACTGGCACTCACTGATTCTCCACATTATTTCTCGGTCTTAAATTCATCCTGTCATTTTTTCTGATGCGCTCACCTCATGCAACCGGAGGTAGAGCAACCTTGCAAAAGAATGTGTTTTCCTCTGCTCTAACTAAACCACCCCATCTCCTTGGATTTATCAGCATTTCAGGGAGCACTGTATAAGGAAGACTCTCACTCCTCCACTGTCGGATCATATTTACAGGAAAATGGACATGTGTTTAATGATCCAGCCTAACCTTCTGGAACTAAAGAACAAGGTCATCTTTGTGGATAGAAAACTGATGTTGCAAGAAGAAGCAGCAGCAAAGTTACTGACAAACACAGGGCTGTCCACCCGAGTAAAATGACACTTACCAGCATCTACCAAATAGATTAATAAAAAATGCATGCCTGCCTGGTGGACAAAGTAGAGCTCCCAATCAAGAGATGCGTGGACAAAGCAGAGCTACCAATTTACCAATGCATGACTGTGTAGAGCATGATAAGAAGTAAATAGAAAGAACATTTAGAAGCACAATAAAGGGATTTTTCCTGATTCACATTGTATCTGCAGAGTCCTTTTTCATCTCACGCCACATCCTAAGCATCATTATTGGGATAGCAACTCCAACAGCTTATTTCAGAATCAAACTCCAGATATGGCTGAGCACAGAGCTCCCAAAACAAACCAGCCACAAGTCTGCCTCCATTTGGGGCTGCTTCAGAACAAACAGCACCCCAAGACAATGGTTTGGTTTTGTGTAAGCACAATGAGCTAAGCTATTAAGCTAATTACTAGATATAAATATGATATAGGCTCCCACATCATGAGCAGCACTGAACACTTCCCATATCCATTTGTATCACAGCAGAGATGGACACGACATGCCAAGGTTCAAGCAGGAATAGTGATCTTTATTGTTCACAGCTCATATTTATATGGTTTTCAAAAGCAGCACATTCAATCCCAATTGGCTGGTCACTTGTTGCCACCCACATCACTGGCCAATAGCTGCCTCCAAACGTGCTGGCAAAAGATTGGCCAGCATCCATTCCTTGCAGTTAAGTCCTTCAGCTTTTCATTGTTTTCTTCCTTAAAGTAGAAAAAGTTTTCCTTAAAGACTTCCTTTTCTCACAGGTACAGGCTGATCAAGTCAAGGTTACTTGTGTCTGTGAGGCCGCCAGGTCAGCTGTTAGCCATCATAGTTCCCCCTTTTTGTATTTCAACTACCAAGGTGGTCTTTATCATCCTCTCAGAGCCCTTTGTAAACAGGATAACAAACATGGCACAATGCACAAAATAATTATGCTAATACAAAAAATTATAAGCCCAGTTTGAATGAGGCTCTTCACCTAGCCTGATAAACCAAACTCTTCCAGCCAGTGATCTCTCCCAGAAAATCCTCCATATAACACATGCCATCAAACTCTTCAGAACTGTGTCCATGAGCTAACAAAAGAAAATCAACAGCATGCCACATGCTATCTACATCTACAGCCATAGCACTCTAAATTAAGGAAGTTTCGTTTACTCTTTAATCCAGAAACTACTGGGAGTAACATTTTGCTTTCCTGTCCCACTTCTGTCCAACATATCATGTTCTGGTGTGTAATTAAAAAATACACACCCTTCTGCTGATAATGTCCCTGAAATGTCTGACTCTTGGGGTTCACATGGAGCAACAGGTAAATTATTATCATAAAACATCCCATAGCTCCCTAAGGGGGTTTTAGTATTACAAATGTTCTGGGAAGAGCATCGCACTTTGACAACATTTTGTGTTACTTGTATAGTTTGTGTGCCATTCAAGGGTACCCCACTAAGCAGGAGGGAAAAGGTTGTTCTGGCTGTGCCATAGACAAAATCAATCTGATTCCATTCAATCTGATCAGCTGCAGAGAGCAACTGATACCCAAACACTGTTTCTGTTCCACAGCTGAGGGGCCCTCAGGGAGGTGCTGCTGATTGTGATCCAGAGCAGAGCCTCGAGCACAAGGCCCCAAGGACCTTCCCACTCGCTGGTAATGAGGTCCCATACCTCAGGCTTGGGCAACTGGATGGCACGAGAGGACTGCAATGACGGTTTTGGGAGCTTGGCGATATCATAAAGCGATGCAGTGTGCACAGAGCTTTGGCCACCCTACTTTGTGGGGTTTCACCAGACATTGGCCCTTTTTGTTTCTCAAGAATGCACTTCAAAGCACCATGGGCAAGCTCAGCAATGGCTGGGCCTGTAGGGGAATGAGAAATGCCAGTGAGATGTGACATGCCCCATAACTGCAAGAATTGATGAGTTGTCTCTGAGGTACAGGCAGGGCCATTATCAATTTATCGGGGTGGCCAGCACTGCAGCAGAGCCAGGCCCAGCCCAGCCCTACCAGGCCATGCAGGCCATGTGGTGAAGTGTGGGCCTGACCAGTGTCCACCTGTTCCAAAGCTGGAAGCAAGACAGCTTTTCCTGGGTTTTGTTTGTTTTCAAATGTGATTACACAGGGACGTGTTCAGCTTCCTTAAGTGGTTTAATAAGGTGTCAATATTCAAAACTAGCCAGAGGATTGGTTCTGATGGGCCCAGAGGAAGCTTTTAGCAGTCCTCACAGAGAATCACTTCCATAACTGATGGATTTTCTCTTTACCTAAAAACCAAGCTATGTTAAACCACAACATTCACCACCCCTAGTCTCTGTGAATACACATTTTAAAATAATCAAAATTATATTCAACATGCAACTTCTACTTAGAACAATAAAAAATACTAAACTAAACAGAAGGAAAAAACTGCTTACAATAACCTCCACCCCTAGACATTTCACTATAATTACAATATAAATTTTCCACTAACATTCTATTTAAACTTCTTGCTTAATACTTGCTTTGCCCTTTATTTCTCCTAATTATCTCACAGCTTTCACCAATTGTGTGTATTCTCCACCAAAAGATGCAGTGGTTTCAGTAACCAGGCAGAAACATCAATTTTCATTTGCCAATCCGAGTTTTCTGGCCAATGCACCAATTACTGAAGTGGGTCTAGCACTGGCCAAATGCCAGTGCACCCACTAGAATTATTTACTCACTTTCTGTTGTGAGATAAGGATTAGGAGGAGGGAAAAACAGGTTTTAACTAAAAAATAAGCTATGCTAAACCAGAACACTAGGGAAGTTAACTCAGGGTCACTTTTAAGAATATTAAACAACGGTGATAAATGTGGGGTAGTTAACCTTAAATAGGGTCATATCCAGCTGATGATGATACCTAAAAGGTTTTGTGCATTATTTAATGTTTGGATCTTGGTTGAAAATTTAATTGTTTGTGGTTGTATTGTCTGATGTAACATTTTAACTGCTACCTATTTCCATGGGGGTTGTTGTTGCACCTCTCCAGGTGCAATGTGCAACTGCAACTCTTGCAGTGCTTGCATCAGTTTTGGCTGAATCTGTAAAAGGCCTTCTTTGCTGCAAGACTGACAGAGAGCACTGTAAATACAAATTTGGGATATCATCAAGACATAAAGGAATGGCAAAGAAACAGTCTTAAATCAACAATCAAAATGTCCCAGGTAGCAGATATCGTAGCAGGGCATGGCACTCCAGGCTGTAAAGCACCCACACTTTCTGTAATTGTATTCATTTTTCTTAAGTCATGAAACAACTTCCATTTACCTGATTTCTTTTTAATCACAAACACAGGGGTGTTCCATGGACTTGCTGATGGCTCAATATGACCTTGGTTTAATTGTTCTTTAACCAACAATTAAAGAGTGTTCAGTTTTTCTTTTCAAGGTGCCACCGATGAACCCACACAGGTCAATCAGTGAGTCACTGTAAGGCTAGTGTAGGATGCTTTATGCCCCTCAGCACAGTGGCCCCTGTGAAAGATCTGTTCCCAGCCACACCCCCCATGCTGACAAGACATCCCTTCCCCACAGGTGAGTGGCACAGCAGTAACATAGGGATGGATCGTGCCTGTCTGTTCTGGATTTTCAACTAACACAGGCTTACCACTCCAGTAACTTTGTGTGGTACCTCCAAGGCCAGCAACAGATCCTACAGCTATGGTGGGCCATGACTGAAGCCATGTGTAAGCAGATATGATCATAACATCTGCTCCAGTATCTATCATCCCACTGACCTCGATGTGGGATGGATTTGCCTGAGGCATTGTATGAGCACAAACCACGTTTGATCTTCGATCAGACATGACCTGAGTCCAGTATACTTCAGGTTCCCCAGCAAAGCCAAAGCTTCAGTTTCCTCACAGCTTTGAGTCTGTTTCAGGAACACAAGACTTAAAAAGTACAAGTTGAACAATACAACTTTTAGCTGGAATGGATACAGGAGGAGTAGCTCTTGATACCACAGCACATATTTGTCCAGTATAGTCTGTATCTGTAACTCCAGGGTGGACAAAAAAAACCTGTAATGTTGCTCTTGATCATCCTAATAATAATGTACTTAATCTCTCCCCAGTAGGCCCATGGGCCTCGAGGGGGATTTTATATAACTGCAACAAGTCTGTAAGTTATAATGCCATCAACAGACATATCCACATCAGCAGATCCTCTTCTTGTCCCTGTGCATAGGCCTGCACTGGAGGACGGGAAGGTGCTCATGCCTGCAAGCATCTCCCTTTAGGACTCCTGTTCCAGTTTCCCTGTCCACTAAGAGGCTGTCCGTTCGCGTGGAATTTAGACCTGCATTGCTTGGCAAAATGACCGGGTTTTCCACATCGGTAGCAGTTTCCCACTACAGGCACAGCTCTCCATTTCTGGTGTGTCCCCCATGAGTTGTACCTACGGGGACAATTTGCTTTTCTGTGGCCTAGTTGCCCGCATCCATAGCATGTATACAACCTTAGAGCAGCTGCCAAGTTATCAGCTAACCTAGCCATTTCAAAAGATACAGTTCCAACATCAGCACATGCATCAATCATTTCATCTAAGGATGGATTTATTTCTGGTAATAGGTCTATTGCTTTCTTGCAGTCTTCATTTGCATTGCTTCGTGCCAATGCCTGTATCAACAGATATTTTGCTTCATCATTTGCTATTTGCTTTTCTATTGCATCTTTTAATCGTTCTATAAATTGCATGTAAGGCTCTTTGGGGCTCTGCTTAATTTTTACGCAACTCTGAGTTGGTGTCACCAATGCCATTTTTCCAACTTCCATCAGGGCCTGCATTCCTAAATCTCTTGCCTTGGCCAATATCAAGGGATTTAGGCGTGCTTGCAACTGAGGGTTATTTACAGGAGACCATCCCAGAAGCTGAGAGACCCCTGCCCCAAAGCACGGATCTTGCTGTGGCACCGCTAAACTATGCAGCCCTTGCCTTTCCACTTTTTCCTTCCAGATGAACTCAAACATCACGTATTCCTTCGGGGCACAGACCAACCCCGCTATTTGCTTGACATCAAAGGGTGTCATTTCCCATTCAGCTAGAAGTCGTAACATCCTTGTTACAACCGCAGACCCCAGGCCATGCTGGGTAGCTAGTTGGCGTAACTGGGTGAGAATTTTAAAGGCGACTTTTATAAAGGATGCAGTCCCATTGTTTTGCCCTTCTTGGTCATTCAAGGAGTGTGGGAACCAAGGTACAGAAATTTGTTCAGCAACTTCATAATCTCTACTATCAAGTGCCATGAATTTCATACGTTGCCAAAAGCTAACTGGATTGTATGCTGAGATAGCAGCCCCAGTCGTCCCACTCACAAGCTCTTGGCCACTCAAGAACAGCTGGGGATACAGATTAGAAAGTTGTTCAGCAAGTTCAAGATCCCCATTAGCAATGGCCTCTAATTTATGATATTGCCAAAACGTAACCCGGTCATATCCTGAGATAGTAGCTGACACTGGTTGCGTGGTAAAATCATCCTTCTGAGGGCCAGCAGGGAGGCGACAACTTGGGCCTCCCCTGTTAGGATTCCACGAATCTACTAATAGAGGGGATTCCTTGGGCTTCTCAGGCTTTGGCTGTGGACACGATGAGGTGTGGCATCCTGCCGCTCTGGGTGCTGGCAGCTCCCTGCTGGAACTGTCAGCACCAAGTGCCGCACGGCTCCTGGCTCCTATTGCCATGCCAAGCTTGCGATTGGACCCATCAAGCACTGGAGGGGCTGTCGGCAGAAGTTTATCATCACTCCGCTCATCCGTAGGCAGAGGAGAGGATGGCTTGGTGCTAACTGGGGGTGCAGGTGCACACGGTGCAGGCGGAGTTGCAGGGATGGCAGGCGCAGACGACACCTGCTTCCCTTCTGCTTTTTCACCCGCCCTTTCCACTCGTGAACTTGATGTGGCACCTACTCCCCCAAGCGCTCCCTCCTGAGCTCCACCATCACTGGGTGTCTTGGCAGGTGGAGTCTGTGGTGCCTCAGCTGCTGGTTTTGCATTTTGCTCAAGTTCCAGCAGTTTCAAAGCGTCCAGCAACCGCCTCGAGGTGGTCATAATATTTTTAGCAGTGTCATCACCTCGAGAGGCTGATTCAAAAATCAATTCACCAGCCCGTTCCCAGATTTTAACAAGAAATGCAGCTTCTATGGTGGCATCTACCCCATGGTTCCTACACCACTGCAATAAAGTATGCAGATCCTTTTTATCACATTTTATCCCTCGGCGGTCCAACATAAAGCTCCATACATTCACTATAGCTTTTTCTTCTGCTGACACTTTATCTTTTTCTTTGGTTGACACTTGAGATCCCATTGTCCCCAGTGGATCACCTTCTTAATTTTAAGTCTTGACCTTTGCAGCTCGCCACGCCGCTTACAGCTCTCTACGCTTCACTGTGTGCCCCTGCACCCACCGGTGTTTTCTGAGTCAGAGGTGCAGTGTTGGATTCTGGACTATCTTCCTTCAGCTCACCCTGAGAGAAAGCAGGAGCTGGGAGTCTCTGAGCTCCCACCCCGTGAAAGGGCGTTGAGGCCAGGTGGGCAGCCCTGGTAAAGTCACACGTGTCCTCTGGGTTGGCACAAAGGCTCTTGTTCTTGTAGGAGCCCGTCACAATTGCATCCTCACTCAAGCGTTCAATTCCATTCAGCTCATCCTGCAAATAAACAGAAAACACACTGAAAGCCTCCAGATTGTATGACAAATCTTTCTTTATTTAAAAGCTGAACATTTCTCTTCCCTTTCTTCCACTCCACCACCTTCCAACATGAACAGGACTTTCAGCCTTCAGGAATTCTACTTAGCACAGAATCCCAGAATGGCCCAGGTCAGAAAGGACCTTCAAGACCATCGACTTCCACCCCTCCCCATGGCAAGGGACACCTTCCACAAGTGCAGCCTGCTCCAAGCCCCATCCAACCGGGCCTGGAACACTTCCTGGGACACGGCAGCCACAGCCACAACAGGATATTTCCTGTACCAGCTCACCATCACCCCCTTCAATTACTGCCATGCCAGGCAGCAGTTTGGAATCCTTGCTGCTCACACCTGATGCCAGTCCAGCCAAGCTGAGTCAGCCTGGCAGCAGCACAGGCTGCCTTGGTGTCTCCTGGGCAGGAAATCTGCCATGGCCCCAAGGGTTTCCTTACACAGGCTCCTGCTGCTGCTGCTGCTGCCGTGCTTTCCTTGGCACTCAGAGAATCCACAGCATCACGAACAGCGAGAGGCTGACGGGCACTTTTCTCATGGGCACCATCTGCTGAACAACTAAGAGGAAGTTACACTCAGTTACATATTTATTAGAGCAGCTGCCCATCTCCAAAAAATTCCACTCAAGAGTTTAAGTCTATTGATCCTTCCAATCAACCCATTTCTACTACAGAACTAGCACTAAGCCACAGATACAGCTCTCCAGAATGAAGCAAGTTCATAGGGCAGCTTAAATAGTTCTAGGTTGAAGAACAGAAGACTATTTCCTCATCAGGGACTCTGACTAATCAAATAAAAAATACCAAGATAAACAAAACAAAACACACACCCCCACACACCCCTACAAGAAGCAGTTATTTTAGCTGCTACAGCAAGGGTTTGATGCTTCTGTTTGCCTTCCCTCTGAAATCCAGTTCTTAATAATTCTACCTTGTATTCTGATGTGTCAAAGCAGAGGATTCATCAAATATAGAGAAAAATGGAACAGCAGCCGGTGGGGGAAGCAGACCTACACCTGTAAAGAAAAACCAAGAGGCTCTATCATATCCACAGTTCTTGCAAAACAGCATCTCCAACTCTACTTAAAATAGTTAATATGCAGTTCTAAAAGTACTACTCCTAACAGGAAGTTACAGAGCTGGCATATAAAGAAAGCCATTTTAAAAGGTTTGGTTTTGCCACATTAATGAACCACCCCTTTACCACCATATTATGTGAGCTAACTTGCTGTGTTTAAACTATGCTTCAGAACTTGTACATTTTTCTGCAAGACTTTCTTATTCCTTTGTTTCTCCTTAGAGTTTAAAAATGTATTTCCACTGTGGCTGTCTGGGGATTCATCAGGAGTCTGGATAACCACTGTCAACAACAACAAAAGTCAACTCTGATCAGAAGTAAAGTTCTTCAGGATTTGACCTTCCCAACAAAACTTATCAAAATCAACAACATACAATTTTGGGATGTATTCCACTAGCCAAACCTCTGAGGAAAAAGGACTTAAGGTAGTTATCAATCTCATGATAGATTTAAACTCTTCTGAAATGTTACTGAGACTGCAAACATAAAAGATGGAAGAAAACTTTGCAGCTACTGAAAGAAAAATGCTCTTCTTCTTCTTCTTGAAAGTCCTTTCAAATAGTGACACTTCTCAGATCTCATATGCTCAATAAGGTAAAAGGCACTACTAGCACACACACTGTCATTCTTCTAACCCACTTAAGCTTTGGGTTTAAATTTGCTGCCTTCTTGGTATTCATGGAACACTTCCCTTTAACCAGACCTTCTTGTTAATGGTAAAAACTTGACTACTTACCCTCAGAACAAGATGGTTTTTGTAGCTGAGTATCTTCATAGACCTGGAATTCACTGTGAAAAAGATAAAATAAATGAGTTTGTATTCTACAGACCTTCAGAAAACCTAAATAAACTGTGTGAAAAAGGCAAGCCAGGATGACAAATGCTTCTTGCAAGAAGTTAAGATCCCTCAGACAAACGATCAAACAGACGCAGAAAGAGCCCAGCTCCTGCTTACAGGCTGATGCCAAGGCTATATTCCATTCCAGCTGAGCAAACAGGCTGCTAGTGATCCATGTTACTAATTGGACCTCCACAGCCTCACAAGTGCTCTCCCTGCTGTCACAAAAACCCCTCTATTACCTTTGTGACTGAGGCTGTTTCTCCCCATATTCTTTTGCACTGGGAAAAGTAAATCCTTGCATTCCCAAAGGTGTGGAAGCTGCCATCACCTCTGCTGCCTGTGGAAACAAAGCCACATTTCAGTTCTACAGTGGTTGCAAGGCTACAGAAATGCTTGTAAGTGGTTGCAAGTTCTACAGAATTGCAAGCCAGGCAAAAAGGTTCAAAAACATGAAGATAATCCCATGTAGCCATTAAAACCCTGATAGAAAATGGTTGCCTTTGGCCAGTTTTATTTATTTAGCTTACCTGCATGAAGAAAGTAAAGTCCACTTTTATTGCATAGTGAAGTTAAAAGGCATCATTTACTCTTTGCAACCATATTTATACTTTCATAGGAGATTTTAGTTACCCTGCAACTATTAAGGACATATGTAAGCAGTTCAGCAGCTTACAAAGTCACAACTCTGTTTCATTATTTAAAGTACTTACTGTGAAGGCATTTTGGAAACAGAGAAGGAAGAGATAGAGAATATCATTTACTAGTGAAGAATCCTTTCAAAAGAAGTTTAAAATGTGTTAGAATAATATCAGAAATTCTTCCTTTTGGCTTTCTTGGGTACTTTTATTTAAAATTGCAGCTATTTGCAGTTAAATGAGGACAATACCTGTTCATGTGGCTGTTGCTGCTTGTCATCTTCTTTCTTCTTTAATTGCTTTTCCAGCTCCTCAATTTGCCTTTGTATTTCTTCCTTCTGCCGTTTTATGGCTTGTATTTCATCTAAGAAAAAAACACCTCTAAGGCCCAATGCCTATTTCACATACAATTGGTGGCTGCAGCCTAAATTGTCAAGGGGCCAAAACTTCTGGTGGTCTTTCCCTGTCCCACAGCTCCCACATAAAGCTGTTGAATGTGTTACTGTATCTGCACCTCGCAGCAGTTAAACAACTACTCCTGTAGAAATAGAGAAGCAGCTGCAGGAACAGAAGCAAATACAATTTTATGATTCCATCTGGAATGCCTTACTTGCTCCAGCCCACTTTGGAACATACCCTCATCTTTCTTTCTTGCTTTCTTCCTGTAGATTTCAGCTCGGATCTCTTCAAAAGAGAATTCATCCACTCCAGCATAGACTTTCTCTTTGCAGTACATCACCATCTCCTTCTGGGCCTGAGCATCCTGCTGCTGGTGCTGCACTCGCTGCAGGGGGTCCTGCCGCTCCTCAGGTTTGCGCGTACTTAACACAGAGTTTATGCTGGGCTCAATTTTACAGGGAGTCCTGAAAAAGCAGCAATTTATGACTTAGGTTTGGTGAACTTCTCTGTACCACAGAAAAGCAGGCATGGGAGACAACAGGACTAGTTTCAGAATCTAGTTTTGGAGTAAAGACATTCTGTTCCATGCTTAGAAAAAATACATGAGAAAATTGGAATGAGTAACACCAAACTACTCAGAATTGTGTGATAACTAAAACAAACAAACAACAACAAACAAAACAAGACAAATCCAACCTGAAGTGTCTATAAGGTACAGTCAAAAACAAATAAAATTCTTATGATGTCTGAACTGCCCAGCATCTTGCAGCAGGACCTGGCCAATTTAGTTCCATTGAGCTGTGTGACAACCACAGGCACAAGTCCCTAAACTCTGGTTTGCAGCATGAATATCTGGGACAAAAGGGACACAGGAGAAAAGGGACTTAAAAATGGACATTCTTGGGCCAGATGAAACCAACATGCTGATTCCAGGAGAGAAGAAGCAGTGCTGCTACAGCTTTACAAACATCAGCAATCCAGATGACTACAGCTGGATAAATTCAAATCTGGGAGTGATCATACGGCAAAAAAGCGCTCCAAATATTCGGGGTTATAAAGCTTTATTGGAGGAGTGTGGGGATCAATACAAAGATCCCAACAGGGTCCTTCTGCCAAGAACCCTGCATGACAGCTGATGGCATGATTTGCATCACATTTAAACAGCTACAGCATAACACTTCCACATTTGCAGGTAAAAACAGTATCATAAGGAAGTGGATTCAAAGACAGAAAAAAACCTCCAAAATCTAATTTTAAGATTTCAACTACATAATTTAAACCTAGATGCCAAGTCTCTGCCTAAGTCCCTTAGAGATAACTTAGCCTGCTGCTCAGTTCTACCCACTCTGTCCCTCTCCCTGCTATGAAAAGCCACTGCCTTGGTAAGGAACAAATCTCCATCCCACAGAAATGGGCATGCCAAGAGATTTACCCTCTGATGCGGCATCACTGACTTCCAGGAGAAACAAACAGTCTTACAGCTTAACAGGAATGCAGATTTTACACATTTGTCAGCTAACCCTGGCACAGCCACGGGCAGAGCCACTCTGCAGTCCACAGGCAATCCCTGCTGCTCACCCCTCCTCAGCATTCCTTGGCTCCATGCAATCCCAGCCTCTGGGAACTGCCTGTAATACCAAACAGTCTCTGCCACTCCTCCCTCACAGGGAGCCTGTCTGTTCCCTGGCCATCATTAGCCACAGAAAGGTAGAGCAACCTTGCAAAAGAATGTGTTTGCCTCTGCTCTGACTAAACCACCCCATCTCCTGGGATTTATCAGCATTTCAGGGAGCACTGTACAAGCACCACACTCACTCCTCCACCACCTAAGCAACACTGTTGGCATGGCAACTCTGACAGCTTATTGCAGAATAAAACTCCAGATGTGCTGAGCACAGAGTTCCCAAGACAGAAAAAACCAGCCACAAATCTGCCTCCATTTGGGGCTCTTTCACAGCAAACAGCACCCTCAGACACAGAGCTTGTGCTTCTGCCTAAACACACTGAGCTAAGCTATTAAGCTCATTAGCATATATGGATATGACACAGGCCCCCACATCATGAGCAGCACTGAACACTCCCCGTGTCCTTATGCAACCTCTGCTGAAGCCTCTGTCTTCAAGCTGCAGCACTAATTGCTTCCAGGCTGACAGATTTTAAATTCTTCCAGCTGCAAGAGAGGCTTAAGTACTCACAAAACAAGTCCCATTTCAGGAAGCAGCTTTGAGAATCCTAGATGCAATTCCCCATCCCAAACTCCAACTCACATCATCTGTGGCTCAGCTGGCTCGTCCACATAGGGGGTGAAACTGGGCACTGGGAGGGGCACTGCCAGGCCAGAGCTGCCAGTCCTGCGAGGACGCTGTGGAAAGAAAGGCAACATCAACAACACAGGGATCATTTCAGTCTCCACATCCCTCTGCATTCTGCATCTCCCTTCCCTCATCTTCTGCTCAGTTGGGCACTTTCTTACATTGAAAATTAAACTTGATGGAGACTTTTCCAAATGAATTCCCTTCTGACACAGTCACAGCCCACCAGCTGAACACTGGCACCTAAAAGGCTCCTCCTGCAC